CCTGGTGCTTACTCTATCTGACTGGTTCCCTGACTCCTCGTCTTCCTCCTCCTCCTCCTCTTCCTCCTCCTCCTCCTCTTCCTCCTCTTCTTCCTCCTCCTCCTCCTCCTCCTCTTCACTCAGTTGTTCAGCCAGTGCTTCGACTTCAGACTGGGAGAGAGACAGAGTGGGACTGGGAAGACAGCGACCCCCAGGCCACAGCTCCCCCCGGGGAGAGCCTGGGTGAGGCAAAGCAGTGCATGTCCAACCCCAAGGCTCAGACGATGTGGAGGGATAAAGAGAACTTCCCCCCGCCCCAGGGTGGCTTCCTGGAGGAGGTGAGTGTGCTGGGAGGAAAGGGCTGCTCAAACAGCTATGAGGGGTGAGCCCCATAGCACCGGTTAGGTGCTGCAGAGGGAGCCAGATCCCACGTGGCTGGCCGCGGCTCAGGCCCTAGGCTATTAGCGTGGAAGACAGGCTGGGCGTGCGCGTGCCCGGAACTGAGCAGGTGAGAACTGCGAGGTAAAAGACCGTGTGTAGGCCGGCCCCTCGGCGGGCGTCTCCCCCTCTCCCACACGCACGTGTACCTCCGGGGTTATTACTGCTGTGTGACTCACTAGTATAGAGAAGGACAGAGCTGGCCCCACAGTGGTCACGTGCTATGCATAAAAAGCCGGATGCCGCATGTCCGGCCGCAGTCGGAATCCCAGCCCTGGTGGCCTGCCAAACATCCTAGGTGCCTGTGTGTGTGTGACCAAAATCCTGATGGGATGTACGTACGGAGGAAAAAGGATTGTGGCATGGCCGTGCCCTAGTGGGGGGTGCTTTCTCCCTCTCTCTGGAAAGGGCACATGCCTTCTCCACCCTCCGGCCCAAACAAAAACTTACTAAATAATGCCAATGCATCGAGCTTTCTGCTTATGAAATAAAACGAATTCAAAAGCTACTGAGGGTGGCCAGCAGGTGGCGCACTGGTTAAGGTTAGGATTCACAGGACCGATCCGCCAAGTCTGTGCGGCCCACAGTCCTGAGAGGGGACTGCAGAAGGGAATGCAGCAGTGGACATACTCCCGGGGGGTGATGTCTGTCTCTCTGGTGAGCGCATGTGCCCTATAGCAAAAGTATCTAAAAAAAAAAAAAAGAACCAGCAGTTAGCGTAATGGCTATGTCGCTGGACTCCCACGTAGTCGACTGCGGTTCGTGTCCTGGACCTGGTGGCTTAAAACTCACGCCGGGCACTTGTGCGTGCGTGCCCAAGATCCCGAGAGGAGAATGGAGGAGAAGGGATTGCAGCATGGCCATCCCCCATTGGGGGTGATTTCTCGCTTTCTGTCTCTATGTCTCTGTCTGTCTGGCGAGCGCACGCGCCCTATAGAGAAAATCTCTCCAAACAAAAAGCTAACGAACTTTATAGTGATCACGCTAACACCAGCTGAACCTTCTGGCCAATCTTCCCATTATTATTATTTTTTAACTTGCTCTAGGGCACGTGTGCTCACCAGGGAAAGACAGAGAGAGAGAGAGAGAGAGCAAGGCAGAGTGAGAAAGCAGGCGCCGAGTTCGAGACCTGAACTGCAGCAGCCATGTGGGAGTTTAGCGCCCCAACCACTACACTTGCTGGCCCCCCTGCGGTCAACCTTAATGTCGCTGAGAGAGAGACAAGTGGTCATGCCGTGGCTCTGATGGGACGTAAGCAGACGCACGTGTACCCACCGCTAGCAAATCTTACCCCAAAAACAGCACCTGAAGCTGATTGTATTTCTAGACTTACTGACTTTTTAAGAGAACTATTTTATTTTTTATTATCATTACTATTCTTTGATTTGACCAGAGAGAAAGAGGGAAAGTAAGAAAACAAGCCACTGGGTTCAGGACTCGAACCATGGTTGGCAATGTGGGAGCCCAGCACCTTAGCCATCATGCCGTCCGCTGGCCCGGAGACTGACCGATTTTAAGAACTATGGGGTAGAGGGTGTGCAGAAGAGACAGTGGTCTCCAGACACAAACTGAAAACAGGCTCTGCAGCCCACAAGTAGAATACGGAGACGCAAATACCCAGAAGCCCTCCACCGGTTAGGCTCGGAACGGAAGCTAGTATGAATGGCACGAATCGCCCTAGTGCGATGGCGGACGTGCCGAGCACACCAGTGTCAGCAAAATGGCCAAACTCCTACCGCAGGAAAGCCTAAGGAAAACGTGAAGCGCCCACCGCCACCAAAAGGACAAAAACGTAACAATGAATTTTAGTGGCCCTCAGACTTGCCTTTTACTCATGTAAACGTTTTCATTAAATATCACAACGCAAAACACCAACATGTTAAGTAAAAGAAATCCACTTGGCCAACATGACTACACATCGGCGAGAATACATTTAATACATGCGTGTTCATGTTTTCAGGTAACAAGTGAGAAAATGCAGCAGCTTTTTTGCTCTCATTACGATACTTCAAGTAAAAAAAAACTTTGCTCTAGGGCATGTGCACTTGAGAGCGAGCGAGCTCCCTAGGGGCTGACCATGCTGCAATCCCTTCTCCTCCTTTCTGCTGGGATTTTTGGGAAAACACCCAGTGGGTTTTCTAAGCTACCACATCCGGGACTCAAACCACAGTCGGCCATGTGAGATCCAGTTGTCTTTTTCTTAAAACAATTTCTGTATTTAATTTTATTTATTATTATTTAAAATTTGCTATAGGGCACATACGCTCACCAGACACAGGGAGAAGGTGAGAAAGCAAGCTGCCAGGTTTGGGACGCACGGCGGTCAGCCACGTGGGACTCCAGCACCTGAACCGTCATGCCACCTCACAGCCCCCAACCCAGTGTCTTAGGAGCCATGCTACCTGCTGACCCCAAGGAACTGCCACCCATGAACTAAGCATGGAGTACTGAAACAGAACTCAGGTTTTCTTTTTCTTTTAAAGATTTATTTTTAATTATATGTATTATCATTATTCTTCAATTTTGACCAGAGAGAGACAGGCAGAGAGAAAAGGAGAGCGAGAAAGCAAGCTGCCACGCCTGGGACTTGAACTGTGGTCGGCCACATGGGAATCCAGCACCTCAACCACCACACCACCTGCCGGCCCCAGAACTCAGGTTTTCAAGATGAAGGCCCAGTGAGAAGTGTCAGATGGCTGTGGGACAGGCACGTATGTTTCAGAACGGTGGAAAGTCAGAAAGAAAACAGAAACGGCATACTTCATCTCATTTAGTCAAAGAACCACAGGTGAAACTGCGAAAAACAGCAGGTACGGTGAATATTACCACAAATTGAGTTAACTTTCTAAGTGGTGTGGGTGCTGACTACTAGTGTCAAAAATATGTTTAAGGATATAGGGACCAACAGGTGGCATAATGGCTATGTTGCTGGACTCCCATATAGTCGACCGCAGTTCAAGTCCTAACCCCGGTGGCTTAAAACTCACGCCGGGCATGTGCATGCCCAAGATCCCGAGAGGAGAATGGAGAAGAAGGGATTGCGGCGTGGTCTTGCCCCGTGGGGGGGAGGGGGGGTGATTTCTTGCTTGTCTCTCTGGTGAGCGCATGTGCCCTGTAGTAAAAAAAAAAAACAACCTCTCCAAGAAAAAAAAAATGTTCGAGATTGTTTTGATACCTGTATTTACAATGAAAAATGTTAGAAGGAGTGTATCGGTGAATTTTTGTTATAAGCTATTCCTGTGTTACGAATAACAGACATGTAATTTTGAGATAAAAGTTTTTTTTTTTTTTTGAGAGGTTTTTGCTATAGGGCGCGTGTGCTCGCCAGACAGACAGAGAGAGACAGAGAGACAGAAAGCGAGAAATCACCTCCCGGGGGGATGGCCACGCCACACTCCCTTCTCCATTCTCTCGGGCATGCATGCACATGCACCCGGCGTGAGTTTTAAGCCACCAGGTCCGGGATGTGAACCGCGGTCGACTACGTGGGAGTCCAGCGACATAGCCATTACGCCAACAGCTGGTCCCAAAGTGTTTTTTTTTTTTTTTTTTTTAAGAGGTACTTTTGCTATAGGGTGCACGTACTGGCCAGAGAGATAGAAAGTGAGAAGTCACCCCCGGGGGATGGCCATACAGCAATCCCTTCTCCTCCATTCTTCTGGGATCTGGGGTAAGCACGCACACGCACCTAGAGTGAGTTTTAAGTCACCGGGTTTAGGACTTGAACCGCAGTCAACTACATGGGAGTTCAGTGATGTAACCATTATGCCATCTGCTGGTCCCTAAAGTCAGTCTTAAAATGTAGGGGAGAAAAAAAAAGGCAGAGGCTTATATGAATCCCTCATCGAATGAGCCAGCTCCTAAAGGTAGAAACTGTAGAGCAACTGATCTTCCACAGAGACGGTGAAAAAAGTATTTTTAGAAGATGCAGAAACCGGATATCCTAAGAGACTTGAGGTCAATTAAAAACATGTGGACCTCACTTAGATTTGAACAAAAATTCATTTATAAAACCATTAAGGAAAAAAGTATAAATTGCTGAGAAAATACGATGACTAACAAGATATTTGATCATTTTTTTTTGACGTTTTTGCTATAAGGCACATGCACTTGCCAAAAAAAGAGACAGAGACAGAAAGCGAGAAATCACCCCCCGGGGGGATGGCCATGCCACAGTCCCTTCTCCTCCATTCTCCTCTCGGGATCTTGGGCACACGATGCACCTGGTGTGAGTTTAAGTCCCCGGGTCGGAGACTCTAACCGTGGTCAACTACATGGGAGTCCAGCGACATAGCCATTACGCCAACTGCTGGTCACGATATTTGATAATATTAAGAAATCCTAAGGGGCCAGCATTTGGCCAATCACTAGGGGCCAGCATTTGGCTAACCTAGGTTGGAGTCCCAGATCTGGCAGCTTAAAAATCACACTAGGTGGGGGCGGCAGGCGGCATGGAGGTTGACTAACAAGATAGTTGATCATTTTTTTGCGATTATCAAAACAATTATGAACTCCCACACAGCTGACTATGGTTGGAGTATTGGACTTGCTTTCTCGAGTACTCTCTCTGGTCAAATTTTAAAAATAATAAATAAAATTAAATAAAAAATAATTGTTAAAATAAAAAACAATTGGGGACCAGCAGGTGGCGTAATAGTCACGCCGATGGACTCTCATGTAAGTTATCACGGCCTGAGTCCCAGACTGGGCGACTTAAGACTCATGCTGGCTTCCGCGCGTGCGTGTTCAAAATCCTGAGAACAGAACGGAGGAGAAGGGACTGTGGCACGGCCACGCCCCGGAGGAGGGGTGATTTCCTGCTTTCTGGTGAGTGCGTGTGCCCTACAGGAAAAATCTCTCCTAAAAAAAAAAACAACTAACAAGAAAATCATGCTGGGTGCCTGTGCGCGGGTGCCCAGGATCCTGAGAACGGGGAGAAGACGGCAGCGTGGCCATCCCCCGGGGAGTGATTTCTCACTTCCGTTCTGTGTCTCTGTTTCTGGGGAGCACGCATGCCTTTATGGCAAACAAAACTAAACTAAACTAAACTTAAAAACAAAAAAAACAAAAAAAACCATCGGTGGGCGAGCACCCGCGGGCAGTGGTTATATGCTGTGCAGAGGAGGCTGGTCACACGCGGCTGACTGGTTTTGAATCCTGGCCCCCTGAAGCACAGGATCCAGCAGGATGGAGAACTGCATGAAAAAGAATTGTGATTCGGGGGGATGCTTTCGTTCTGTCATGCACAAAAGTCACTGGTAATTTTTTTTTTTTAATTTTGCTATAGGGTACATGCACTTGCTGGAGACAGAGAAAGAGAGAAAGCATCTCCCGGGGGTATGGCCATGCTGCAGCGCCCTCTCCTCCAGTCTCCTCACAGGATTTTGGGCACGAACGCAGACACAACTGGCGTGGTTTTCAAGCTGCTGGGTCCAGGACTCAAACGGCACAGGTAATCACGTGGCATCCAGCCTCCTTTACCAGCGTGCCGCCTGCTGGCCCCAGTATTTTCTTCCATTTTAGGTGTGAAGACAGTAATGCAGTGAGAGGCTTTATGTTTAGAGATACGCACAGAGACACGTATAGAGAAGACACTGTGACGGGTAAGATTTGCTCTGCAATAATCCAGTAGGTGGGGACTTGGGGGAGAATACATGGATTACAACTGACTGTGCATTGATTGTTGAAGGGGGTCAGCGTGTGTGCTAGGTGTGTGTGTGTGTGTGTGTGTGTGCCCAAAATCCCAGGAGAGTGGGGAAGGGACTGCAGTGTGGCCATTGCCCCCAGGGGCGACTTCTCACTTCCCCTCTCACTGTCTCCCCCATGAATACATGCCCTGGTGAAATAACTGTTAGAGTGGGTCAGCTCCCTACCCTGGTCCTTGGGGCAGCTGGCTCCCATATGGCCAACCGCAGTCTAGGTCCCAGACTGGCAGCTTGGGATACATGTCGGGCGTGCATACCCAAAATCCTGAAAAGGGGGAGTGCAGGAGGAGAAGAGACTGTGGCATGACCATGCCCCATGGGGGTGCTTTTTCCTCTCCCCCTTTTTCCTGACAAGCATACATGCCCTCTAGCACACACGTGCACGCACACACACATTGGATCTTGGTGATGGGGACTCACCAGTTTTCTCACTTGTGTAAGTTGCCATAATAAAATGTTAGGTAAAAAGTAACCCAGGTTAAGACTAAACACTGTGGGGCCAGCAGGTGGTGTGCGGGGGTTAAGGAGCAGTACTCCCACAGAGCTGACCACAGTTCAAGTCCCGGACTTGGCAACTTGCTTTCTCACTTTCCCTTTCTCTCTCGTTAAATTAAAACAACAACAACAACAAATAAAATTGAATAAATGTTCTAAAAAAAAAATAAAAAAGGCAAAGTCTCCAGTGGGGGGAGAGGGGAGACTAACCACTGTGTTGTGTAAGTACACGGAATCGACCCAACGTCCATCAGCCACTGAACGGGTAAAGCACGCATGACATACGTCACTCATTTTAGGTAAAACAGGGAGGCCGAGAAGATGTCATGTTGAGTGAAATAAGTCAGACACAGAAAAAGAAATAGCACACATTCTCTCTCATATGCGGGGACTGAAAAACATGCCCCCACACAAGTAGAGAGTTGAGGAGTGACTGTGAGAGGCCGGGAAGGGTGGGGGGAAGGGATGCTGATTAACAGAAAGAACATGACAGATAAAGAGAAGTAACTTAGACCTTGATGAATATAATCAACTTACTACTTACCTCAGTAACTGAACAAGAGGATTCTGAATGTTCCCAGCACAAAGTAATGACAGATGGCGGGGGCAGATACACTAACCACCCCGCCTTCACGACACATGAATACAATGTATACGTATCCCGCACACTGTGCCCTGCAAATGCCTACATTCTCCTCCGTATCCCGCACACTGTGCCCTGCAAATGCCTACATTCTCCTCCATCAATAAAAACACGAAAAACTTGTCTTCACTTTACATTTTGTAGGTAAATGAGATAAAAGTAAACAAAGAGCAAGAGAACAAGCAGACAGACCACCATGTGGGATGCAAAACCTGGAAGGTGGGAGGGCGGCCATCTCTGTAGAGAGAGGCACGAAGGAAGGGGTGAGGCGCACACAGGAAGTGAGCTGCACAAGAGGACCTCAAGAAGGTCACGGACAAATGGAATTAAAGTATGAGTTTATGGGGCCGGCAGGTGGCGTGGTGGGTAAGGGCACTGGACTCCCACATGGCCAACTGCGGTTTGAGTCCCGGACTTGGCGGCTTGCTTTCTCACTCTCTCTCTCATGCTCTTTCTGTCCTTCTCTAATCAAAGTGAAATAAATACAGCTAAATAAAATAATTTATTAAAAAAAAAAAAAGTGTGAGTTTATTTTGCCGCATAAATATTTTGAACCCATGTGGTTTTTTCCTAATACGGATGAACTCTCTCAGCCCCCGTAGACAGCACAGCACAGGGAATTAATGGGCATTCAGAAGATACAAAGTGAGAACAGAAAACCGAGAGAGGCTGGAGACCCGGCCCCGGACCTGAGGGACTGCAGGCTGGGGAGGGCGGACCTACCTTGCTGTCAGAGTCCACGCGCTCGTCCACGGAGTAGGAATCATAGTAGAGGCTAAAGTCGTCACCCACCACTGTCTCCCACTCTTCCAGGGATCCAGGGTCCCCCTTTTCTAGGGTCACTTCTCCGGAACCCCGGGCAGAACCCAGTTCTTCTGACTAGAGAAAAGATCAGAAAATTGAAGGCTGCTCATTCCCCTGCTCACCTGCCCCCCACTTCTCTTGGGGACAAAGGCAGCCCAGGTCCAAGGTCCCCCACACTCCCCGGGGTGGGGTGGGGTGGGGTGAGGTGGGGTGGGGACCTGTTTCCCGATTCTCCTGCTTACCAGGCCACCTCCGGAGTTCAACTTCCTCCTTTTGGCCACGTCTGGAAGAGAGCAAAGGAGTGAGGGCCGTACTGGAAATCTTCAGGACGGGCCGCATCCATAAACAGCGGGGATCTGAGGGGTGGGACTGACCTGAGGTCACCTTCCCCAGAGAGTGCACGTCATCACTCATCCGGAAATGCTGTACCTCGGGGGGCCTCTTCTCAGGGACTGGAGGCTGGGGGCCAAGAGGGAGCACATCAGGGTCGGAGAGCATATACAATGCAGCCTGGTAACCTGGAGCCCCCGGAGGCAGTGAGGTGAACTACACCCTCAAAATGCCACCTGAAGCTCCAGGAACCGGAAGGCAACACCACCAAGAGCTGCTTTTCCTCCGGAGGAACTGCGCTGGGCCTGCCAGGTGGTGTGCTGGCGAAGGCTGGCTCTCCCACGGCCCACTGCCTGGTGGCTTGAAAAACATACGTGGTGTCCCCAAGACCCCGAGAGAACGGAGAAAGGATCGTGACGGATTTAACACATATTCCATATCTAACGCTCACCTGTCTCTCCGACCATGCAAACGCAGGCCCCCTTTCCTTCTTTCCCACGTTATAGGGAAGAAAACAAACTTGGCGAGGTTAAAGACCCTCTGTCCCCGTATATTATGAATATAGCAGCAGTACTCATGATGGCTAAAATGTGGAAGTACCCAGCCCAAGTATCCAGCCACAGAAAAACTGGTTAAGCAAACTGTGGTATGTATGGGGAATCAGCACTTGGCGTAATGGCCATGTCACTGGACTCCCATGTAGTTGACCGCGGTTCGCGTCCCAGACCCGGTGGCTTAAAACTCACGCCGGGTGCACGTGCGTGCGTGCCCAAGATCCCAAGAAGGAGAATGGAGGAGAAGGGATTGCGGCGTGGCCATCCCCCCTGGGGGGTGATTTCTCGCTTTCTGTCTCTCTCTGTCTTTTTGGCGAGCGCACGCGCCCTATAGCGAAAATCTCTCCAAAAAAAAAAATGTGGTATGTGTGTACACACAACGGACTATACTTTAGTCATTAACAGGACATTCTGAGGTAGGCTAGGCATGGGTGAACCCTGAGGCCATTACGCCGAGTGAAATAAACCAATAAATCAGTCGGAAAAAGACAAATACTCTGTGGTTAGTGATATGAGGCAGCGAGGGCAGGCGAGGCCACAGAGGACAAAAAGAACGGTGGTGGCCAGAGGCTGGGGGGAAAGAAGAACGGGGAGTTGTTTTTTAATGGCTATAGCTTCAATTTTATAAGATGACAAGATTTACGGAAATCGACCGATTACAACATCACGAATGTACTTAATACCACCGTACGCTTGAAAATGGTCTGGACAAGGGGCCAGCAGATGGCATAACGGCTACGTCGCTGAAC